CAAAATATTCTATCACACATGATTTATTTTCCTCTAATGAAAGTAACATGGAAATAAGCAAAGAATCCTCGTTCGGTTCGTCTTCAGGAAGACATCACATGAGCTTACCAAATCTAAATGATGCCTTTTATCGTTCGATTTTTAACGATTGCAGCGATAATAAAATATTTAGATCGTTGACAACGTTGATGACCGTCAGCAGCTTTGAATCTGATGATACAGAAGAAGTTATTTCTCAGATAATTCGTAATAATAATTTGACGCCTGCTGATAAATGTATGAAGCTTTTGGGTTTAACTGATGTTGATGTGATTAGTGCACGCGCTAGAGTTCGTAAAAGGATATTAGAAAATACTAGAATGAATAAGATTGAAGAAGAATATGCAAAAAAAAATGAAATAGAACAAATTGATCCCTTGAAAGATTACAGGATAAAAGATTCATTTAATATTGATTACTTGATGACAAAAACTAGTATGTGCAAATCTCAAACAAATGATAACCAAGTTGAGAAAGCGTTCAGAGAAGTAAAACGAAAAGGTGGTGAATTTTTCAAACCAACTGAGCCTTATAAGACCCAAAAGATTGACGAGAAGATCGATGATGTTAAAACAAAAGATGAATTAATCGTCAAATTACCAATAAAAGCGGTGGAATTCACACAACCTAAAGAATCAAACACAGTTATTGTACTTGATTGTATCGATGAGAAAGAAAAAATTAATTTTGAATTTGTTAAGAATAAGAAAAAAAACCAGAAAGTATGTCCATTGATGAGAGATAAAATCAAGTCTAGACCATGCTTTCCTTTCGTATGGAACAGACAATTGAAAGAATGCCCTTTTAAAGAACAAACTATCCTTTCTGATTTTATTTTTCCTTCCTTTTTAAATACAAGAGATAAATCTTCAGGTGAAGTTTATTGTACAACTAATCGTGAAATTAACAATATAAGAAATGATAATAAAATTCCAGTAGAAAATACTATTTCTTTGGATAACAGAACATTATCCAAAAATAATATTACGATTACGAATTTTGATCAACAAGAAAATACAAAGATTAATTGTAATATATTTTCACAAAGTCAAATGACTAGTGCGGAAGATTTTATTCATACAGAATTGGAAGATAATGATGTCTTAAGTAAAAATATTTGTTACGTGTATCATTACAAAATATATATATATAAAATTAGAATAAATAAATTATATATATTAATAGTAATAATTTATTTATATAGTCTAATAAAAAGAAAAGGTTTATAACTTTTAGGGTAAATAGTACTCGTTAAATGATAAAAAAAAGTCATAATAAACATGGGTCAAAAAATATATATTTTCAAAGTTATAATCAATTTCTTGTTCTAGCTGAAATAAGTATCTTTTCCTTTGTGGAAGCTGAAAAAATTGTTTACAACTTTGAAAATATTTATTTTTCGATCCAGAAATTTTTTCATTATTTGGCGAATACTATCAATCCTAGAAGTTATGAACCCTTTTCTTTTATTACCCTGTATATAATATACATATTAGAAATACTTTCTTTTTCTTTTTATAGAGGAAGCTAATATAAGAACAACAAATTTTGTAAAAGACACATCCGAAACACTTCATTTAGAAACGAGAAGAAATTACAACTATATTTCCAACGATCAATCTCACATTCTTCCTTATACTAGTGTCTTCTCCACAATGGGCTGCTTATCATTCTGTCAAAAATTTATCACTAATCCCTATAGCAGAGAATTGCTGATCGATGAAATTTTGGATCCTCGATTACTATTTAATGAAAAATTTATTAAAAATACGAATGATGTCTATAGGGAAACGTTGTTTAAATCTTGTAGTTCAAAGGATTTATTAGATCGAGGACAAATTATGACACAGAATATAATGAATACAGAGTTATTGTTTAAAATGCCAGAACAAATGACGTATTATACTGGTGTAGAATACAAATTTGTATTTAATCCTCAAGTTCAAGAAAAAAATTTAGGACTAAATCTTCAACATCAAAAGTTAATTACAGAACATAGGTATTTTTTTAAACGTTTGTATTTAAATAATAATATTTCATTGAAGTATTATCATTTTAGATACACAAGTATTAAATCAAAAGAAGAACAAAAAAATAATGATCCAATCAACATTTATGAAAGTTTCTGGAGTAAAATAGATTTAAATAATAATGCGGATATCAATTACGACAGAATTAATATTCAAACAACAGAAAGTTTAGACAATTATAAATACGATAATAAAGTGAATAATAATTATCACATGGACAATGTATATTCAAAGTTTTCAACAAATAACAATTTAAATCAATTATCCAATATTGAGAATCTAATTGAAAACGACGAATGTTATAAAGATAATATAGAAAATGTACCATGTTATTGTAAAAATTGGAATATTATGTCAGTAGAAGATACTTCAAAACACGAACAGTCAAATTTTTCGGAGAAACCATCTTCATATTCTAATAACATTAGAAACGAGTCACTTCATAGATTATTTAATGTTAAAAATAAGATAGTCAAGACATCGTTTGATAATAATAAAAATTTTAAATACTTCGATCAATCGAGACATTACGTGGAATTATTGAAAACGAAGAAGAAACGAGTGACATCATCTAGAGAAAGAGAATTATTAGAAATGAAAGCTTTGAGAGCTTACAACGAGATAACTTTGTTAGAAGATAAACGAGAAATGGAAGAAAAGAAACAACAAGAGAAAATGGAAACGATATATTCCTTCACAGACAATAACAAATTTCTGACGATGCAAATAATGTCTTGTTCTAAAGCGAAAAGTAAATACAGCCAAATACAAAGAGAAAAAGAAATTGATTTATCTAAATGTAATATACATCAAGACCATTTTAATTCGTACAATGAAATTGAAATACGTAACACGAATGATTCTTTTTTCGAATATGTTAGTAATATTAACAGTGAAGAAATGACTAAGGAAAAAGAAAATATTAATTTTCTTGAAAATGAGCCGTCATCTTCTCAATTACCAAGTATACAAAATAAGGATGCTGCAATTATGCTTAATCTTTTGGATCGTCATGGTAGTTACTGGTTCAAGCAGGAACTCAGAAGAATTCTGGCAATAAAGGATAGTCAAGTGCATGTGAAATATAACAGACCTAATCAAGTTATAATGAAATTGAATCTTCCTTTAAGAAGCAGTGAAAATATAAATGATAGCCTTGAATTTGACAGTAATACTGAAAAACAAGGCATAAGTTTTCATTTTAGAGAACCTTTCTCTCATCAATACTTACAAACTAATTTGGATTTGAATTCAAGTAGAAATTTGAGGACTTTTAATTCAACAGAATCCATTATTTCTAAGAAAAATGTGCGTACTAATACGTCCAATTTTAAAGATTTTATTGAATATACAGAAAATAAAAAAATAATTAAAGGAGAAGAAGAAGAAGAAATAAAAATGATAAATACCCCAAAAGAACCTGAAATTAAAAAGATCGAGAAATCCAAGGTCGACATTGCAAGTGTTGAAAAAAATGATGCATTTTCTTCCTTAACAAACTTTACCTCAATTTCATCTTCTCCAATAACTGAAGAAGATATAACTAAATCGATCGATAATTTTGATCATCTTCAAGTTAGAAACATGTTTCTACACGTAATGGATATTGCAAGAGACGTCCAATCGAGCTTACGTCCTCATGGTATTTTATTAGGTAATAAAAGTGTACAAGAAATAAATATCGCATCATCCCGTCTTTGTGTTGATCAGCAGAGAGATATAGTTGATGACATCACAGCAAGCTTGGTTCATGCTGCATTCTCTTATAAACCTGAGATTATGATTCGAACTTTTCCATATGATTTTCAATCTATCAATGACGAAAGATCTATATCGTTCTTAAACAATTTTTACAATACTTATCGTATGCCATTGGCCGACAATGAATCCATTCTTTATGCTAATAATGAAATGGATATTTATGCTGAAAACACATTGACACTAACGAATGACCAAGAAATGGAAGATGATGCTAATGATCTTGATAATATTCTACAAAGTTCACGTGATTCTACGGATACTGATAGAATTTTTAATTTTTATATCTTGGTGAGGGAAGACGAGGATTTGCCTTTGGATTTAACAATAAGACCGACTTCTTCTGATAATTTTTCTGAAAACGAAGTTATTCGATATGACAGCGAAGTTACATTCAGCGAAACAAGGACAATGGATATCGTTGATCCAGAAATAGATTTTTCTTGGAGTGAGACGATCGAGAATTTCGATCAACCTTCCTTCAAAGTGCTGATAGCTTTCTTTAGTTTTATCTTAGCACTTTACGTAGAATTTTTAAGATCATACTTCTTTTCTAGTTCATCAGATTCGCATAATTCTGTATATGGTTACAGGCCGTACGAAGTACATTCGAATAATATATTTAAGACAAATTTTTCTAACGAGTTAATAGCAAAGAAATGTGACACTGTTGTTTCCTCCAATTTGGTGAACGTAACAGAGTTGGTTAATCAACTTAAAGAACAAGAAAGAATCGGTGTAATTGATTTCGCTAATGAAGTTGAAAAGGATGATCAAGTTTCGATAGAAAGTGCAAATCCACAAGTCTCAAATATAAGAGATAGTTTTGATACCATGTATACTAGAAGTACTGTTAAATCTGAAAATGATATATCTTTTGGAGAAGGTAGCTTGATGGAAGACTTTTCTTGACAATTTCTCAGAGGATTCGTACTTTATATTTAGCGATTGAATCACTAATTATAAATAATTATTACAATTTTCTTCTTTTTATTTATCTCACTGATATTATTTATCTCAATCTATACATATTTAATATTATTTTTGTTTACTATCATTTTGTTAACAAAATATTTTTATTATTTTAACAACTACGCATGCGCGCGCGCTAAATTATTTCGATTGTTTTATTTTGATGAATAAGAAAAGTTTTCATGAATTTTTTAATAACATTCAACAAATTTCGTCATATCCCTGACCATAATCAGGTACCACGTGATCAGGATCACAGATAGTGTCTTTAACCGCATCCATAACATATGCCTTGAAGATTCTGAAATTTATCTTGCTGCTATCTAAATTTTCATAAAGATACATTGGCAATCTATTGGAGATCATCCAAACGCTTTGATTTTCTTCATGATCGACCTTAATATCGTTAGGAAATACCAACGAGGTGTTACTGGTACCTATAACACCTAAATTCTGAGGTATATATTCTTTTCTGGTGTCCCAACACCATACGGAGTCACGAGTAACCATGTTAAAGAACATTACACCATTTCTGTCAACAACGGAACCAGATGAATGCCCATAATCCTTGGCTCTTGGCCTTCCAATCGGTATGAATTTATCAGTATTATGATCGATCATTCTCTTGTCTCTAAGGACAGACGTGGAGACTGCGAATTCTCTGAAACTCGACATGGGATGAAAGAACAGGGTTCTATCGTTGTGAATATCGATAGGACTGAGTGCAATACCAAATATTCCATCAGTCCATTGAAATTTAATTCCATGGAGCTCATACTTGGATGCCAAAGGATCAGGATAAAAGAAATGATGTTCGAATCTGAATGATAAATCTTTGTATAAGTCATACACGACAATACCGAATCTCCAAACGTCCGAAAGATATGCTATTGCTCCACCACAATCTCCATCTCTTACATCGACCACTATATTCGTAAACAAAGAGTCCTGTTTGACTTGTTCCTGTGGTAAAGTATATTTCCTGATCAACGTATCAGTTCGAAGATCGAAAATGAAGAGAGCTGGTGGACAAGTCTGCGTTGGTTTTTTCGAAATATTTGTCACCCCAGAATCCAAAACCCAAAGACGATCACATTCGTCTACTTGCAACCTAAACACTGACGTGAGATCATCACAGTTACCTGAAAACATAATGAAATATTAGAAAATCATTTCGATAGACATAATGTATCCATATTCAAACTAACCAGATTTATTCCAATCCCAATTAGGATATGGTTTCAATTTTGGACTCTTTGTTTTGGAATATCTTGGAACGGTTGCTAATGTAACTGGTATTCCTTCCTTCCATTTTGGAAGAGTTATGAATACTTTGTTTTGATAAATGTCTAATCCTAAAGGTAAATTATTTTCAGCTATGTAATCACCATCAAATATGGCTTGATCTCGTTCCTCGATACTGTCGAATTCAAAGTCTACAGTGGACCAAGCGTAAACCTACATAAAAATTAGCAAAATCGATAAAAAATTGATAATTGTTTTTAGAAAGAGATAATCGATTATTTACCAGACTCATCGCTGGTCCAACATATTCGTCTTCGACTGGCTCGTTGTTTCGATCATAATTAAATCCATGAAATTCCAATTGATTTATCGAATGAGCTTCGTTTCTAAAGACATCACCGCTAATGGCTAACGGGTTATCATGATTATGCGATTTGAAAAATCCACCTGCCGCAATCGGGGTAGAACCGTAAAGAATATTACTTTTTTCGGTTGACCCTGTTAATTTAGTTTCCAATGAATTTCCATGAGAATTACACGAAATTGGACTGGATAATTCTTCGTGCGATATCAGATTACCTGCTGACTAATGAAAGTAACATATAGATAAATCAGCATATAGAAAATAAACGATTAGATTTTATTTTCTATAATTTCAATATCGTTGTCACTGATCGATACGGGAAATATAATATTTGGATTTAATTCGATTGTACCGAGTCGCTAAGAGGAAAAATAGGTGCCTCGAGTTCTCGTGAAATTGGTGCAATACTAGGATGAGCTGCAAATTGTTGAAAACCAAGAAGAGACATCGAAAGAAGCCATGGCATTACGTGGGCCATACCTACAAAAAGAAATTCAAGAAAAAGTTTATACGAAACTCACGGTCGAAGTATATATATAATACTTTCATTACATATTTTCAAATGATCAAAGAGTAAATCTTCATTTGGCCATAGAGTCACTATATCAAAAAATAATTAACTCCATAAAACGAAAAATAAAGAAAACTGATAGAGTAATATACATCGTAGTATTATCTATTATTGAACGATTATACATATTATTCTTAATGATGTTAAGCGTAATTAATAAGAATATATATATTGTAAATATAAGCATAAATTAAATACTTTGGTATTAACATTTAAAAATATTCTAATAGTGGAGTTAATCTCTGTGATCTGTAAACGTCTCATTTTGTCTTTTTAAATACGTAACGAATTTATGATCTCTTGCCAAATCGTTAAAATCGACTTCTACGGTAAAAGCATAAGAGAAGTTATGCAACACGTGAAATGTCTTTTCGCTTGAAGCAAAATTTCGCAAGTTAATTGAAAAATGGATCGATCGGAACTTTGCCTTTTGTGTTCTGTTAACGAAGATGTGTATCATAAAATCTCCCACATAGGGAAAGAGATATATATGCAATACTTTAACATTATTTAATGATCATCGATAAGGTAAATGTTGAAAAACATGATCAATGTAATATGTCGTAATTCGTATGTTTGATCTTTCCCGTAAAAATATAAACGAAGTAATCTTGTTTCCGTTTTCGTTTATTTCAACAAATCTTCAAAAGGAAATGCGTATAAAAAAGAAAATTACATTTCTTATGCAAGAATTATTTGATTGTTTGATCGATGTTTAATTTATTTCAAAAATATACAAATGTTTCAAACAATCGTGATCAATTTTATAAACTCCAGTTATTTTTACTTACCTTAAAGACGAATAACAAGTATTCTATAATAAATAACAATAATTTCGATGAATCAACGAACGAGATAGGTCGGTTATGAGAAATATCATTCACAGATTAATTAAAAAGTTAATTAATGAAAGTGAATGATGCTTATTTCAAAGTAACACTTTAAAAGGAAATTCAATTACTTTCGATCTTAAAATGAAATCGATTTACTTCGGAGGATAGGTATAGTAACGAAAATGATTTAACTTGTTTTTGAGCAAGTCGAGTGAGACTTTCGCGATGAGAGAAAATCAAGGAGTACACACGATATCGTTCGAGATGGGAGCATGGATGATTCCTGACTGCCATATTCTATTCACTATACGGCTCGTAAGTACCTCGATATTACAAGAAGAGAGAGAATGGCTGATCCCTTCTCTTTGAAGATGTTTTCCTTCATTTTTTTTAGCATCTTCAATCGTGTCTTCACAGAGAACGACGATAGCTTATAGGTCAGCAATGCGAATTCAAGGGAGTTGGAAATTCGTGACACTTCTTCAGAGAAAAGGTCGCACTTATTTCTCGGTCAATAGAAATTCCTCTCGAAGTCTCTTCGTTTCTCATAGAATAATAAATCAAAGATAATAACATTTTCTAATTAAATGAAACGAATAATATTCGTTATATCTTTAACGCGTGTTCATTTTTCATAAATTAATCAATATATTTTCTATTAATGTAAAATTATATTTTATATTAATTATATTATTATACGAATTAAAGTTAAATGTTTAATGTGGTATGAAAGTTAAGTTATAATATTTCGATGAAAATATCGTGGCAATAATAGTACTATATTTATAATACGTTTATCTTTAATTATTCTAATATCAATAAAAATTAACCACCTTATTAGTTTAGTTACTTCTTAAACTTATAGAGATTTTAAATAAAGAGCAAGCTGCTTTAAACAGAAGCATAACCAATGTACATATTGCATGAATATTGGTAATTAATGTTAGTAAGATGTTTATTCGAATCGTGTGACTTAGATATCCACCTCTCCCATTGTCGATGAGACACGCTGTATTTTTTACGCTAGGAACTTTCCCTTTCGTTGTAGCAAACTAATCCGGATCATAATAGAGTAGATTGTTACTACATAGGTCACCATTGGCTACGTGTTTGCTCATTGAAAAGATTAAGAGAAAGAAATGTCAAGTTTCTTTATTTTCTTTCAAAGTTCCATTGATCAAATATCTAAATTTAAATATCAATAACTTTTTGTTATGCTACAATTTCGATCGAGATCGTTGTCAATGTCTTTTTACGTTCTTCGGTATATTTCACAATAAGATTTGTTGTCTATTTATATATATATATATATATATAAGAATGTTAAAACATTAAATCGGTAAAAAATCTTACTATTACATAATTGTGTAAATGTATCTAAAAGAGTAAAATAATTGTTAATTTTGTATATCTGTGTCATTTGATTTTTTCTTACTAGATATATTATGAATAAACATATATGAAATGTCTAACGAAAAAAAGGAATATTGCATTTCAAAGAAAGGCGAAATATTCTACTGTTATGTAATCGTCCTTAAAAAAACTGGTTTTCAACAAGAGTGAGTAAAGTTATTAAGTTTTTACGAGGAGACAGTGGGTCTCTCTACCAAGAAACGTTTTTATCAATCTCAACTTCAAAAATTTTCTTTGGTGAAACTCCTATATTAATTTAATAGGAGTAAGTAACATCTCATATGTAGTCATGGAAAAATTTCAAAGCGTCAGCTCGGTTAAGTTTTCGAAAGGAGCTAAAGAAAGCTTCATCTTATTGGTCTGTAAAATTAATGATCAGTCAAACGATAATTGCTAACGTTTACGCATAATGCTGCACCGGAAATTATATTGTTCTACATAGGTTTACTATTATGATCTAAAGAAATGAGTCATGTACGTGACTTGGAATTCTTTTCTTTCTTTTAAATTCAATTCTTTAAACATTTTTCATTTAGGTTACTGTTACAATTATTGGCACATGCTATACCTATAAATTATTAGTTGTATTAATTCTTTTTATTTACACATAACAAAAAAATATATACATCAAACTTGTAAAAAAAGAAATATGCACATTTCTTCGTGATCATTAGTGAAAGTAATATGATTTTACTTTAACTATGCGATTTAGTCGAGTAAATAGATTAATATATCAAAAAATATAAAGAGAAGATCACCGTGATGTTTCACTAGAGATCTCTCAATGACTAGAAAGGTCTATTACTTACCGCTTAAATTTCTATCATGAATCTAATAAATTCACAACGAGAAATCTAATTGTAAGCTTAAATTTAAGATTGAATTAAGATAGAGAAAGAATAGAAGTTTTCTTTCATCCAATGTTTCTGTTTTAAGAAATTGATTAAATCTCATTTGAATATCTTAAGGTAAGTAAATTACGGGGATCGGTAATCATTTTAATTATAGTGTATATGCTTTTCAACATTATTTCTTTTTCCTTTTTGTTTTCTTCTCTTTTTCGTATAAAATTCAGAATTATAATGTGAATTTATTTAAAATAAAAAATATATAACAAAACTTACGATTTTTGTTATGTTGTTCGATTTTTCGGTTTGAAAGTTCGTGTTGCTGATAATGTACCACATGATTAGTCCACGTGACTGGTTTCTTATAGTTAAAGAAGTAATTGGGAGAGCTATAAAAATAGTTGCTGGATTGCATTGGCCTGCTGTTAACGCTTTTCTTTTTTCTCATCGTTGCATATCTCTGTAAAAAAAAGAAAAAGGAAAAGAAAAATGAATAAAAAGAATAATAATTTACATTCATAGTCAGATTGTTCACATTTAAGTCTAGTCAAGTATAGATTCGAAGTTGTCTATATTTGAAGTTAAGGATTAAAATGCAACTGTTAAGAGGTATTTTTTTTTTCTCATCTTTTTTAACACCTGTGGTTGAGAAAACCGACATTCCTTGCGTCACGTGCAATCCAGTATCCATAAACAGAGTGAGAGAGAGAGAGAAAAAAACAACATATATTTCTTCTTACTAACACCTAAAGTGTAAATTACATTCTGCAAATAATTAAAAATTCTGATCAATTTTTCGATTAAACTTTTATCGATATAATACTTTAACAATCACTCAAAATTTTAAATTTAAATCGCGTTATTGTTAAATGTCAATATTCTAATTATTGTTATCAAACTTAACTGACTGATTTAATCACAATTTTATGCAATGACTTGTCGAAAAATCACTGATCGATTATTTGACGATTCGTTTTGCTTTTAAAAGTAAAATACTCGACGAGATTTTAAACACGATACTCACTTTCCTAATTTAAATTAAATTGACGTTTCAATCCTCGGAAAGTTAACTTTCGGTCACACTTGCAACACTATTATTTTCCTGTGTTATGCCAACACTGATTAACATCAGAAAATATATTATTCTAATTAGATTCGCTTGATATTTTGTTCAAACAGTTACAACGTTATAAATGCAAATGATTTCTTGCTCCACTAACAGAGCATGAACATGGTAATGATGAAGAATCAAAAAGTACGAAAAAATCCAGGATTAATTTTAATTTGTATTAATTTAAATTTTTGTAAATTTTACTTTTCTAATATTCGCCGTCAAAATCTATAACAATTGTTGAATCGATCGTTCGATCGAAATTTTTATAATCTATTTAATTGTTAAAAATTATTGATTACGAAATATTTTCACATTTTTGTTTTTTTAAATAAACTTAGTTCTTCATATAGACATTAATTTTATTATTTCAAAAACAATGAGAAACGTAAATGTAGAAACTTAATTTATTTGCAAAATTTCTGTCAACAAAAATAAACTTTGAATTCACTATCGATTTCACATTTTCGAGTCACACATATAACAATTCACATTAATTTTTGACTTATATCATTTTATTTATTTGTACATGATGTGTGTGTACCAGTCGATGATATTTCTCTAGCTCACATCAGAGCAAAGAACCGCTTCTGTCGATTGGCAATCGACTGACCAACCGACCGTCTTAAATCTCATCGTAAAATCATAAACAGACTTCCTCGCGGCGTTTTAAAGTTAGATACTTTTACTTTTTTACACCTTTACTAATGTAATCGTTATAAATAAAGATTTCGAAATAAATAAACAGTTCCTAAAAAATGAAAATTCATTAACAAAGAGCGCTTTTTTCATATTATCTTGTTAATTATTTGTAATTTATTTTAGAAAAGATCGTTATTTATGTTTATTTATAATTATTATAAATAAATGGGAGTAATCTATTTTTAATATAGAAAAAATTTTTATTTATTCGATTTCTCATTTTCCTATTAAAAAAATTTTATTCAATCACGAGAAAGTAGTTTAGTAATTAATATCAGACAAAATGAAAAAGAATTAATAATTAATTTTAAATAAAATATTATTTAAATAAAAAAATTATATATAACAGTTAGAGTAGAATCATTACTTGTAATTTTAATTTAAAGATGTTGTATTTCTAATAACTTTCTTTTTCGTACGTGCGAATAAAAGTTAATCGACATATTTACAATATCGAACTGAAGCAGTTAGTATATCGTTGAAAGCTTATATAGCCCACTTGGTTCTTTGCTTTGACAACTGATTGATTGATCATTGTAGAAATAAATTAATTTACATGTAAACATTTTTATTAATCCTTTCGCTCCAATGGGCGTATGTATACGCTCTCGAAAAATGAACATTCATATAAGTTACGTGAGATAGTTGACACCTTAAAGATATCAGAAGGTAGTGTCCATACAATTGTACATGAAAATTTAGACATGTGTAAGTTGCTTTCGAAGTGGGTGCCGCGTTTGCTCACACTGAACTAGAAACAACAAAACGCGTCGATGATTCAAACCGCTGTTTGGAGTTGTTCAAGCGAAATAAAAAGAATTTCTTGCGTCGGTATTTGACAATGGATGAAACATGGATCCACCACTACACACCTGAATCCAAAAGATCGTCAGCTGAGTGGATAGCAGCCGGTGAAAGTCACCCAAAGCGACCAAAAACTCAAAAGTCGGCTGGCAAGGGCATCGAAAATTTAGAGAAGTGTTAAAATGAATGTTGATGAATAATGTGGAATTTCTTTAAAAAAATTTGTTTTTCTTAGTTAGACTGGAAACTTATTGAGTGACGTTTTTACATATATATAATTTACATATGTTGTGCGTTTGTATTTTAATTGGGCACTAACTTAATTTCATTTTATAATCTTTTGTAATTTTGACCGTGATTACCACGTCATTTTTATTATCATTATATTCATCATTATCATCACCATTATTATTATTATTACCATCATCATTACACTTTCTAATGGGAGTTTAAAATAAAACAACTGTACATTATATGGATATCAAATAAGTTTTTATGTATACAAGAAGAACGCTTAAAAACTGCTTCATTATTTAGCATACTTAAACATTACTGCTTAATTCATAAACATTACTTGAACGATGAAAACAAAAAAGTTTTGGATAATCGTAATTTTATAAAAAAATTTATTTTCAATTAGTAATGATTTTGTTAAAAGTAAACTTATATATATATGATTATAATTAGTAATAATTCACTTATTTTTAAATTTAAATTATTGCATTGCTGATTGTAACTTGATCTTTTATTTTCTAATGACATTAAATTAAACAAAAACAAGTACACTAGTAATAAGACAATCCCCATATTTCCCACACACACACACACACCCATATTTTCATTCTAGATAAAATATTTTATTTAATTACAGTTTTGTAACAGATTATTATATTTGATGAAATGAATTCCATTACACAATTATTCTTAAACTTTTAATTTTTATTTTAAACGAGGTCGATAGAATTTTTTGGCACTTTGACTACTATAGTACATATGTATATACAACAAATATATATAATGCATAAAATAAATAAAAATTATATGTATATGTACACAAACGTTTTGAACAACATTCGTGAGTTGTTAAAACTAAATTAAATATAAAACGAAGCAGCACCGCGAGTTGGTTCATAATAAAAAAGCAAAACAATATTTTCGATTTTATTCAAATCGAATTTACTTTAGATTCCTAAAGAAACTATATCCCGCTGATGGATTATTAAAAATCACTTTTGATGTAATTGGTAATGTTGTATGAGTTGACCATAGATAATGGGACGACCACTGACGATGAAATAGTCTGTGATTCTCGCGGTGCCATAATTTTCATATTGGAAATGTTATTGGCCCATTTTCGTGTTTAATCGAATTACATTTAGTACCTCGAACTATTTCGTCAACGAAACCAGCTAGTATACGAAAATTAGTCTCGTTCGAATTTAATGTTCCTGTCATGAATCTTTGGAATGATGACGTCAACAACCAGATTTCTTCTCGATTTTTGTTCGAATATCTCAACTGAAAATATATTTCAACGTTATGTTTTATAATAAATAATAATTACAATATATTAATTTCATAGATGTTACACACACACACACACACACACACATAAAAATGAAAAACATATGTTTGATGAAAGTAAAAAAAGCAAATGCTAACGTACCTTCAAACCAGAAGGAAATTGTAGATTTGTTTGATCAACTAGAAGATTCTCGATATTATTTTCACCATATTCAGGATAAGTTTTACTATTCCAACAAGCAAGCGACAACTCTGACAAAAGACCAAAGAAAAGAACACCATCTTCATTCATAGCTTGGGCTGCTGATTGTGACGATCTTTCTATTTCAAATGGTACGAAAGATCCCGGTGTTGCCTCAGAATCGTGAGCGAAAATAGAGTAATTTCTACAATTCAATAATAAAATATAAAAATTGTTAAAGATAGTACGATCAACATGAATAATCACAAATTTTTACCTGATGATTGATGTCGCTACCGAAGATTCGACTTTGCTGGCCAAAGAATGGAAATAAAGTATTTTGTCACCATCTGGTCTTGTGGGACTCAAAGCTAAACCGAATATGCCATCCATAAGATCGAAGGTATCACCATTAATGTTAAAAGTCCCATATTGTGGATAAGGATAGAAAAGTTTATTTTCGATTCTCCAAGATCTATCATGACGATGATCGTAAACTAATAAGCCAAAGCCATTCACATCAGCGATGTAAACAAAAGTATCATGACATTTATCTTCGGTATTACGAATATCCACAACTGGTGTGATGAAAAGGGAAGTATCTTTAAATTGATCACGTGGAAATTTGTATTGATGAATTAGTCTGTTATTTATCAAGGAAAATACGTGCAACTGAGGTCGACAAATTTGTCTATCACCAACTTTGCCTGTATCGAGTATCCATAATCTGTGGCATTTATCAATCTATGAAAAAAAAGAAAAAGAAATGAATCAAATTAAACGATTTTAAAATCAGGATAAAATTCAATTAGTTAGTGAATAATTACCGCCACTCTGAAAACGCTAGTGATAGCATTGCAATCGCCCTCTTTATTCGACTCCCAGTTAGGATATGGTGCAATTATTGGATTTCCCTCTGGTGTGACGTTGTCGGTAACATAACCAAAGGTCACTGGTACTCCTTTTATAAATCTTGGTATCGTCACAAAAACGATCGATGCATGTTTCTCTGTGTAATTAATTATCTCTTTTAATGAACTTTATATGTTTATATAGGGGATACATGATTGTTATTTATGAGTGTTAATTTAGATATATATATATATAT